TCATCTCACCATTGAAATCGCCATGTTGGATAATGCCTAGATACAAAATTTCGTGACGCTATCTTAAAAAACAAATGAGTTATAACGAAAAATAGAAAATCCATATTTTCACTTTTTTCGAGATATCTCAGAAACTATCGAAGATATCTTAGATCTGTTTTCACCAAAACACTCGCCTCATAATTGTGCAACTTTTTTGTAATTTGAGCCACCCTGTGTGACTAACGGTTTCCGATATCCCTGTAGTAGTCTCCCTTTAAATAGTTCTAACCCTGCATATATATATTTGATATGTCCTTCTAATTTTTAATGGATGAAATCCACCACTTATGCTAAAAAACTGAATAAATATAAAAATAGGTGTTATACATATAGGTTAAAATCGATCTTAATATATAGAATAAATATTGTCTTTTATTGTGGGTTATAATTCACGTTATTTTTATAAAGTTTCAACCCTTAAAAACCACCCTTATCGATTTCTGGGGTTATTTTCAATATTTTATTTTATATCCCCTAGAAGGAGTGGTTTCCATCCCACGGGCAAAAGCGCTCATCGGCACTATCTAACTTTTGTTTCTTGAGCTGTTTTCTACTTACAGTCCAAGTTTCACGTCAATTGGTTCTATCCGAAAGAGTTTGGAGGGGAAACCTTTAGTTCCCTGGACTATAAGTATTTTAAATGTATTTAAATGTAGGTAGCATTTAAAAAAATGTTTTTATGAATTTTAATGTCAGCGCAAATCTATTTTGAAAAGTATAACCATTTTCTGAACTATGTTTTTGAGAACTTTGTCTTATTTTGACTGTTATTACCAAGCAAAATGCAATTATGTACGCCTTGTATATTTAATGTGTTAAACCTAAAAGACGGACGGATATTTTTTAAATTTTCAAGAATACAGGAACGATTTATCATACTGATTTTATGTAAAATTAGTAATATTTCCTTCGTATGGTATACAGGAATATTCTGAGGGAAATCGTATTAAAAAAATTATAAATAAAATTGAGTGTGTACTTACTGTTGCCGAAGAATATAGTTATAGGTTCTGAAAAATGAATAACTATGTCGTTTTGAAAAAAAAACGATTTGAAATAGAAGATAATATTCACGATATATTCACAGCACAATCAATTCTGCGAATAAAAGGACTGGAATTGGATAAATGGCGTCGTTTTTTATTTATGGCGTTGTTGAAAATAGTATTTTGCCGCCTTGATAATTTTTCTTGTTTACAATTTTAGTGATCTTATAAATGTAAGATCGGTGATTTACATTAATTTATTANGAAGCTTTTGACACGTCGAACGTCAATATTGATGCATTTTTATTCTGGGCAGCCCACTGTGCCCGTTGACGTGAAACGCCCGATATATATATATAGAGCAGGAAGGGTAGTCTTGACTGACTAGTTAAGAAAAAAAAACCAGTGTTGTATTTGGGATATATTTGATATGTCCTTCTAATTTTTAATGGATGAAATCCACCACTTATGCTAAAAAACTGAATAAATATAAAAATAGGTGTTATATAGGTTAAAATCGATCTTAATATATAGAATAAATATTGTCTTTTATTGTGGGTTATAATTCAGGTTATTTTTATAAAGTTTCAACCCTTAAAAACCACCCTTATCGATTTCTGGGGTTATTTTCAATATTTTATTTTATATCCCCTAGAAGGGGTGGT